GTTTTTCACTCCTTCCTCTCCAAGTCACAGGGCAGAGCCTGGAAGAGCAGGTGCTCCTTAAATGCCAAATAGATGAATGAATATTAAATACAGAAGGGATTATGATGACCCATGAGAGAAGGAAGGTGAACTAGGTCATGCTGCCCTGTTGCTGACAGCCTTGTGGAGAGCCTACAATGTTTTTAAAGATTTATTTATTTTTATTTTATGTATGTGGATGTTTTGCATATTTTTGTATAACTTGTGTTCAGTGTCTGAGAAAGCCAGAAGAGGGTGTTGGATCCCCTGGAACTAGAGTTACATATACTTGGGTTCCCAAGAAAATAAAAAATATATACATATTAGTTATTGCATTTCTACATTCAAGAATCTCTACATGTTGGAATCTTAACATAAAAATGTGCAATAGAAAGAATAAGTCACATCATTCTTTAACCTGATACATAAATTCATAGTTTGGGTTCTTTACTGGTACAAAATAAACTATTAGAAAATGAACTGCTTAACAACCACCAACCACTTCATTCACTTGGGATTCTGTAGGTTAATAAATCAGGCAGGGCTTGGCAACTCAGCTCTTCTATACTACGTAGTATCAGCTGAGGTTAGTCCTTTGGTTGAGCTCATTCCCTGGGTGGACTTGCAGAATCAGGAGGGATTCCGTACATGCTGGCTGTTTTAATACCCTCCACATTGTCACATGGGCTTGCTTTCAACAGGGTAACCTAGGGTATAGAACTATTTGTGAGCCTCTCTTCAGGAGGTGTAAGCTGAAGCTTGAGTCTTCTGCAGGCTGTGCTGAAAGGGACATGCACAGAATATACCCAAGTACCTTACACATATAAGAATGCTGTCTAAAGATGTTTAGTCTTCATTTTATCCTAGCCTAAGCTGAAAATACCCTGATTCAACAAAGAAAAAACTAGAAAATACTAAAACACAATCTGCTCATTCAAACTTAGAAATCCATTAACATGAATAAAAATTTTAAGCAATTGAGTTCTAAATTAAACAATTTATATAGATAATGGCATAACCTGTAAAAAGTAAAATAAGGAGCAACAGAGATGGCTCAAGAGTTAAAAAGGTTGGTTTGCTTGCTTGCTTCTTGCTTGCTTGCTTGCTTGCTTGCTTGCTTGCTTGCTTGCTTACTTGCTTGCTTGCTTGCTTGCTTTGTGCTTGCTTGAGACCTGGTCTTTCTCCACAACCCTGGCTGTCCTGGAACTCTCTGTGTAGCCATGCTGATCTTGAACACAAAGACCCGACTCTGTCTTCTGAGTACTGGGATTAAAGGCATATGCTACTACACCAGATAGATAAAAAGTTTACTGTTCTTACAGAAGACCTGTGTTCAGTTCCAGCAGCCCCACGGTGGTTCACAATCACCTGCAAATCCAGTCACAGGGGTTCAGATACCCTTTGGCCTTGCAGGCACCTGCATACACAGTGAACTCAGGAAAATGTACACATATACAAATAAATCAATACATTAATTAACTAATTAATTAATGGAAAATAATATGGACATGTGGGACCTTAGTAATTTTAGAAATAGTGGTATGTTTTAAACACAAAGCAAAACAGGAAATTCTGTTTGTTGCATCTTCTAGTTAGATTTTTGGGGGGAATATTTACATGTTTTGTTTAAAAAATATTTGATTTTTATACAGCTGTAATCTCAATGCTCAAGAGGGAGACTAAGATAGAAGGATTTTAAGTTTGAGGTCACCTGGGCTACACAGCAAATTTTAGGTTAGCCTGGACTATACACTGGGACTATGTCACTATGTCTTAGTAGGTGTTCATTGCGGTGAAAAGACACCATGATCAAAGAAACTCTTCTAAAGAAAATCATATAATTGGGGCTGGCTAACAGTTTCAGAGGTTCAGCTCATTATCATCATGGTGGGAAGAATGGCAGTGTGCAGGCAGGCATGGTGCTGCAGAAGTAGCTAAGAGTTCTACATCTTGATCCACAAGCAGCAAAAGGGGACTGTGTGCCACTTTGGGCATAGTTTGAGCATAGAAGAGCTCCAAGCCCACCCTACAGTAACACACTTCCTCCAACAAGGCCATACCTCCTAAGGGCGCCATTCCCTATGGCCAAGCATTCAAACACATGAGTCTATGAGTCCATACATATTCAAGCCACTCAGAATAAATAATTAGCTAAATCAACTATTTGTGAAAGAAGATTTTAATTAAAAGTTACTGATAATTGTTTCTAGTACATTCCACACATCAAAACAGCTTTCAAGGCCAATGTACAGACTCTGATAACCCCACTCTAAAAGGAAAATTGGCAAAAGGATTTGCTGCAAGCCATATTTAGTCAACCAGAAAATCTTTCCTAGACATTTCAGTATATCTTAACTATTTCCTGGAATAAAGAGCTCCACAATGAAGAGTGGTGTGTGCAAGAAAGACCACACGCACACACAAGCACACACACACACACACACCATTGACCTTCACAAGTTTGTAATAAAAAGTTAAAAAGACAAAAGAAGCTTTGGATCAAAAGAGAAATAGCACATTCCAGAAGAAGATTCCAAGATTCAGTATTTTTTAAATGTCCACTTTCATAAACACAGCTACAATTTAACACAATCCCAATAAAAATCACCATGGATTATTATTTGAAGAACAGTTAAAAAAATTTCAAAAGTTCTGCTGGTAGAAAAAAATAGGTGACATTATTAGGCAAAGAAATTTTGCAAATCATAAGTTATGGGGTTCTTATATAAATACGTATTAAAAATTAATTTAAGGCTACAATAATTGAACAATTAGTCTGGCTCAGGAACAATAAATCATGAAGGGAAAATGAAAAGATCTGGGGGCAAGTATACAGTAAAATTTTGTCAAGACAGCAGGCAAATGGGAAGGGAGAGGCCAGCCCTGTGCTGCAACACAGAGTAGCTGCAAAAAAAATGAATAAAGTCGGTACACGATGCTGTGTGACTCTCCCAAGATGGAGGAACATTCAGTACAGAGGAAAAGGGCATGAAAGGTATAAAAACAAATGTAGGTAAGCTTTCTGGGCTCAAAACACATGATAAAGAAAAAGATTGTTGAACTTGACTCCTGGACATTAAAATACAATAACCAAAACTAAGAAAAGCAACAGCTGCTGAGGAAAGTATCTCAGCTTCCTCACTATGCAACCACTGTGGAGGAAGGGCAGATGCTGTGAAAATACCGACAAGCAAAACTTAAAACATCGCTCCTTCCACAGCTGTGAGTGGAGGGATCAAGCTCATCAGACAGAAAAATGTGCAGTGAAGTCTAGCCTACACTGATGAGGCTGTATTCTCACAGTGCTCCTGACTCGTGGCAACAGCTCTTAGACTCAGAAGCATGTGTCCAGAGGCCCTGAGAGCTGTTCTTTGGCACCATAACTACTAGAAGGAGGGGCTCCTTACCCCAGCTTCTGAGGGAGGACAGATCCCCCACTTCACAAACTGCTTGGCTAAAGGAATACAGCGTCTAATTAGAAGCTGACCTGCTTCTGCTTCTAGCTTCCTCACTTCTCTAACTGCTGAGAGCAGGCTCTCCTCTGCCCTGTCCTTGAGTGCTCATTCCTGTAAATCTCCTCTACAGGCACTGTGAGGGATTTTGGCTCTCTCTCCCAAATGTCAGTAGTTAGCAGGAAGAAAAATCTATTTTGTTTCATGTTTTATTTGTGGCAAATGTTAAATATTAAACCTTATACATGCTGTATTCTCAGCCCCAAATTCTGTTGTCTTGCCTTGTCTGATATCCAGCTGTGTTTGATTTCAACAATACAGCTTGAAAAACAGTACAATGTTTAGCATGACTTTTTTTCTGCTTATTTGTATTTTTTGTTTTCTATTAAATAAATGTATTACAACTATATTATAATGAAAAATATTTTCAGGTAATTTAAGTTCCAAACCTGTTGCAGTTTCCTTTCTGTTGCTGTGATAAAATACTCTGACAAAAGCAACTCAGGGGAAAAGGAGTATTGTGTCCATCAACGTGGTGAAGTCAAGGCAGCAGAAACTTGAAAGTACTGATACTATCCAGTCAAGAGCAGAATCAAAGTCGGTATGCTTGCTCTCAGCTAACCCCCTCTTTTATACAGTCCAGGGTCCAAGCCCAGGGACTTGATGACGTTTTTTAAGCTGAGTCTTCACATATCAATTACTGTGATCAAGATGATTCCCCCACAGACAGGTCCATAAGCCCAAAATTTAGACATTCCTCATGAAGACCCCTTTTTCAGTGATTCCATATTGTATCACAATGACAATTAAACCCAACAATCATACTAGCAGAGAGCAGTGAAACTCATTTACCAATTTCAAAATCTTGTAGATTTAGTTAATAATACCAAGTGACAAGACATTCCTTGGCCAAGAAAGTACATATGTCCTCTCCATAAATTTTCATAAAAATAAAAGACTTTCCAGGTATGTGGGCACAGATCTTTAATTCCAGGACTTGAGAGGCAGAAGTGAATGAATGTCCAGGGAGTCCAAGGCTCTATAGTAAGACCTTGATACTCACCCTCCCCCCACAAAAAAAATAAAATCTGAAGTAGTCTATTCTTATTACCATTTTACCAAAATCAAGGTGATAACTCAGAAGTTTAACAAGTATCTCAAGGTCACAAATGACTTAGTAGTAGAGCTGGATATGAATTCTGGCTCATCTGGTCAGAAGTTAGTTCCTGGGGCCATATTTCACAACACTCTCAGTTTGGGACAGAGAAGGCCACTATTCTGTTCCTAACTCTGTACCCAACCACTCTCATATGTGGCCTTAGAAATTCCTTTTCCTTGTCTGGCTCTTACTTCGCTTATCTATACAAGAAGATGCATCTAATATGTGTCAAGTTCCTTCCTGCTCAGGCATGCCAGATTTCTGTCTCAAAACACATCAAAGGCCAACCAATGGCTAAGAACAAAGTCAAACCAAATGAGCTTTGTGGCAAGAGCAAGTGGCCCTCCTAGGTGCCCTGTGCAGTGGCCCACCTTGAATTCCTCATGGATGCGTTCCTCTAGGATTTTGGCAGCCTTGCGGTCCTCCATCTCCACTTTCCACTTCTCTGCCAAGATCCGAGCTTTCTCATTGGCTAAGGCATCCCGGAACTTCTTGGTGATCTCTGCTTCCTTTTGTCTCCTTCCAAGAAAGCAGCAGCAGGGGTGAGGTTGGGTGAAAAACTAGAATGCAACTTCAAGTAAAAACAAGCAGCAGTCTTCCTTTAATACACAGAACAGTAAGCACAAAAATCAACAGAACTCAAGAGGGCAAAAGATGGGAGAGATGACACTCCTAAGGAAGAGTAACCAGCAGAACCATTCTGGAAGCCCAAGAAACAAGACATGAAAATCCTATTTCTCATTCAAGTAGACAAAGATGTATGTAGCAGATGTTCAGCAGTTTTATTAAAAATGGTAAGCAACTTAAATGTCTATCAAAAATACAACTAAGTTGCTTTCCTGTGTAATAAAACACTATTTGGGAATCTTCAAACGAATTAGGATTTGAAGTGATAAGATTTGTCAAGCTGTAAATAAAAACAGTTCTTTTTTTTTTTTTTTTTTGTCTCTTAAATACTCTTCATGGTTAGCTTGAGTAATAGGTGGTGGGTGTTCTTTAATTCACTGTAGTCCTCAGTCTTGTTTACATGTTTTCACAATTTGACAACTAAGGTATCATCATTCAAACTTGATGGTAGAGGACTCTGGAGATACCATTACATGGATTTCCAAGATTGGCAAGAACAAAACAAAAAGTTAAAAGTTGTTGACAAAAGGAGTCTGATTCCTATCCTTTCTCCGAGGATAGGAGCCCCACAAGGACTAAATATATCTGGGTAAGGGTTTTTTTTTGGGAAACTGTTTCTCTAACCAAGAACCATGTATGGATATAACCTAGAACCTTTACTCGGACGAAGCTCTTGGTAGCTCAATAACCAATTGGTTTCCCATAGTTAGGGAAACAGGGACTGTCTCTGACAGGAACTCAATGGTGGGTTCTTTGACCTCCCCACCCACCATGGGAGGAGCAGTCCTGCTAGGCCACAGAGGAGGACTTTGCAGCCAGTCCTGAAAAATACATGATAAAACAGGGCCAGACGAAAGGGGAGGAGGTCCTCCCCAATCTCTGGACTTGGAAAGGGCAGGGAGAAGCTGAGGGAGGGAGGGTGGGATTGGGAGGAAATAAGGGAGTGGGATACAGCTGGGATACAAAGTTAATAAATATAAGTAATAATAATAAACAAAAAAAGGAGTCTGATTCCAAACTTCCCTGAGGGCTGAGCTGTCCTTCTACTGTGAAATCTAAATAATGTGCAGAGGAGCAACACAGAGCCAAGGTGAAGCCCTACTGCTAGATCATCCTTGTGAGAACTTTGCAAAGTGGCTGAGGCTGTAGAAATGGTTCTGTTTGATGAAGTACTTGCCATGTGAGTCCAGGAAATTAATTCAGATCCTTAGCACTCTCTTATAAATGTGGATGCAGTAATGGATGCTTATAATCCCTGCACTGGGGAGACAGAAAAAGGAAAATCCCTAAACTAACTGGCCACACAGGATCCACAAGAGACCCTGCCTCAAAAAATAGTGTGGAGAGCAACAGAAGAAGATATCTAACATTGACCTCTGGCTTTTACATACACATGCACACACACACACACACACACACACACACACACACACACACACCATGCTGCCCATACTGTCCAGATCAATGCACATTTCATGTATACAAGAAGGGGTGTTAGTTTTTAGGTTATATCACCAACAAGAGAAAACTGAGGTCTCAGATTAGCTGACTGGTGGATCTAATACTTGAACCCACAAGGTTCACTGATGGAAGACTCCAATGCCTTGGTTACTTGATCTTTATAGAACTAAACACAGCCTGCCACTGACCAGCATCTCATTTTCCCACCCATAGCTTAGATATACCTAGCGCTCCAGGCTCAACTCACCTCCCCCAGTACCCTCCCAGCCAGCACCTCTCACCAGAGCTCCTCAGCCTCTCTCTGTGCTTGCAGCCGTGCTCTCTCTGCAATCAGCTCCTCAGAGATCTCTTCGTAGGGCTTGTCTCCGGGGCCTTCACCCATGACCCACACCCAGACCTCGCCATCTTCTCCCAGCAGCCACTGGATATGTTTGTTGCTCGCTGCCTCATGGTAGAAGGAGGAACAGAGAGAGAAAAAAAAAAGAAAGAAAGAAACAACTTGTGAGCAGGCCGAGCTGGTGCATAGTGCATGCTCTATTGTCATCACACAACTCAACAGAGCATGAGCAGCCTGAATGCAAATTCAAGAAATTTCCTTATATTATCCCCTCTAGTCAGCAACAGAGCACCAAATCAGCACCTGAGCTTTCATGAGGTCCAAATGAGCAAAAATGTCAAGGGACAGTGTTATAGTTTCTGTAGGAAATGATTTGTGTTACTCCTGGACTGAAGCTGTGGCATGCCAGTGAACATTCTCTGCTCTCTTGTTTTCCTATCCACTGACTAGGAAGAAAAAAAATCAAAAATGGTAGAGTTGCAAGATGAAGCAGCCCGGAGCCTGGTGTCCCTGTGATATACATCATGCTGTAATTTGAGCAAGAAATGAGCCTTTAATACGTGCAGCCAGTGAGAGCCCTTAGTTTGCCAATAACAGCAGGCTCCACTGATAACTGTGACTAGAATAGTGATGCTCCGTGGTGACAGGGTTGCCACAGCAATAGAAACACTGCATCTGGCTTTAGCAGCTGGTGAGTGATATCCAGTAGGCCAAACAGCTGGAGATCCATGCATAGGGGAACAAAACAGCTGGTAGAAATGTCACAGACTCATGAACTTAAAAGGCATACCCTGTGTTTTCTGAATTGGGGAGCGGAAGATGAAACATTAGCAATGTATGTTGGATGAATCTGAACTATGTCATGAGAAGAAGAAACCAAGTTCAAGAAGGAATCAAGTGCTTTGCAGGTGGAATTGAAAGAGAAAGGAGAGAATACAGAAATTTGGGATTGAAAAACTTTAGGTTCCAAATTGGAAAAGATGAACTGGTTTTGGAATACCTGTGATTCCGGCATTCTGTACGTTGAGGCAGGAGGATCATGAATTCCACACTAACTGTGCAATGTGGTGAAATATTCTGTCTGTCTCTCCAACTGTCTGTCTGTCTGTCTGTCTGTCTGTCTCTCTCTCTCTCTCTCTCTCTCACTCTCACTCTCTCTCTCTCACAGCCAGTGGCACTGAATAAAACCTCCAGCCTCCAGAATATTGTGCCTGCCCATGGCTGTTTTTCCATGAGGTTGCTCCAGGCTCTGACTGAGCATGACAAGCTCATGACTGAGATGTTTGACTTCTTTTCTTGCATTCCATGGCTCTCTACAATAAAGCTCCAGGCCTCCCTTCCTCCTTTACTCAAGATAATGTGAGAAAAAAAAAATATTTATTTTAAACAGTGATAAGCATATTATGTAATAATAGAAAATGGTTTCATGAAAAAAATAACTGTATATTATAAAACAACAGAATTATCATTAGAGCACCAATCATGGAGCTGCTGCCCTGAAGGCTCAGTTACCTGCCTTTCTTCTAGATACATATCTGATAAAAAATATTATAATAATAATAATGATGATCAGAGCGAAGAAGCAATCTATAGAGGGAGAAAAAAATTCCTGCAAACCATACACCTCATTAAGAGTTAGTGCCCAAATGAATAAGAAACTCAAGCAACACAGGATCAAGCAAACAAATAATTCTGTTTTAAAATGGGCAAAGGGCTTAAACAGACACTTCTCAAAAGAATACATACAAATGGCCAACTGTGAGAGAAAACATTCAACCTGATTAATCATCAGAGAAGCTCAGGTCAAAACACTGTGGGATGTCACTCTACACCAGTTAGAAGGATGAGCAGCAAATCTATAAAGCTAAAAATCTCGGGGGTAGGGGCTAGAGAAGTGGTTCTCATGTAGGTCATGACCTCTTTGGGGGTTCAAACAACCTTTTACAGGGTTCACCTATCATATATCCTGCATGTCAGGTATGAACATTGTAATTCATTACAGCAGCAAATTTACAGTTATGAAGTAGCAAAGAAATAATTTTATGGTTGAGGGGCAGTATAGTAAACATAAAGACGTATATTAAAGAATTGCGGCATTAGGAAGGTTGAGAACCACTGGGCTGGAGAGATGGCTCGGCAGTTACTTGGTGCTTTTGCAGAGGACCTGAATTCTATTCCCATTCCCCAGATGGCAGCTCACAACCGTCTGGAACTCCAGTTTCAGGGGAACTAACACACTATTTTAGACTAATAGGCACAGCACACATGTGGTGCGCAGACATACATGCAGGCAAAACACCCATACCCATAAAGCATTTTTTTAAACAAAAGCTTGGAGGGCATAGAGATAAAGGAACATTTGTACTCTGATATAAGAATGAGAATAAATTCAGTCATTGTAGAAAACAGAACAGAAATTTCTCTGAAAACCAAAACTAAAGATGTGAATATGTACACACACATACATATGCATATGTATCCAAAAGAAATTAAGTCATTATGTCAGAGATGTCTGCACATTCATGTTCATTGAATGACATGGAATCCATCTGTGTCCACCAAGAGACAGGGACACACAAAAACAATTAAAAAAATTAAAGACTGAATAAAGAAAATATGATACATATGTATGGAGGAATACTATTTGGTATGAGAAAAGTATGAGATCGTAGCATTTTCAACCATATATGGGAACCTGGAGGAAGTGTGCCAAGTGAAAGAAGCCAGGCACAAAAACAAAACTATCATATTAGCTCACAGATATGTGGGGTGTAAAGGGGGAAAGATGTTAGAGGGATGCTGAAATAAATCCATGTCTCTCTGGTTGCATGTATGCACAGCACTAACCGGACTTATTAGGTTATTTAAAAAGACATGAAGTGAGGAGGGGATCTACTGGGAAACATAGAGAGAGTTGGAGATAAAACAGGGATAGATGATAATATTTAATTGTATACATGTATGAAATTTCAAAAATAAAAATATTTAAAGCATCTATCTCATTAGTATGTGAATTTTCTCTTCTCTTTAATAAAGGATAAAACTTTATGTATACCAAAGATTTGTTTTAAAATAGCTTTCTTTGTGATTTATTATTTTAAAAATGTGTCTTATTTTACATTTTTGTAAATCTATTTACTATGTAACCTAATTGAAAGCACAGGAGGTTCTCATATCTTCTCCTGAGCTTAAGCTTTCATGATAGATAATTTCGGTTGAAGTATATTTAAAAAAAAAAAAAAATCACATGCACTTGGTAAAAAAAAGAATGGAAAAGACTTCACAGCTTTTCCCTCAGGATGTCTTAGTTACTGTATGAAGGCTCAAATGAGTAATAGAGAATCTGTTTGTTTGTTTGTTTGTTTGTTTGTTTTAGACAAACAAAACAAAGGATCTTGCTATGCAGCCTAGGCTTGTTCTGAATTTATTCTATAGCCCCAATGGTCTTGAATGTATGCTGCTCCTCCCACCTCAGCCTCTCCAGAACTGGATTATAGTCATGTATTATCATGCCCAGCTGGTAGTAGATACTTAAAGGTTAGTTACAACACAAAATCTGCCAATAAGGCCATTAAGCCTTTTATTTTAAAAGTCATTGATTGTGATGACCTAAATATGTTACCATTTAGAGAAGTTGGGTAGGAGTGCTGTAGGAATTCTCCAAACTTGCAATTCTGAAATAAGTCTGAATTAATGAGCTTAATATTTTTATAATAATTAATTCAAAATAAAAGGTCTAAAGATTTTTTTTACAAGATTTTGTTTCTGTTTTGTTTGGGAGCGTGTGTGTTTAATAAAATAGGGCACCGAGTCTCCTGGAGCTGGGGCTCCAGGTGGTTGAGATAGGCCTGAGATGGGTGCTAGAAACCAAACCCTGCTCTTCAGACAAGCACCAAGCACTAAGCCATCTCTCCAGCCCCAAACAGTCTTTTGTTTGTTCGTTGTTACTGTTTTTGTTTATTGAGACAGAATCTCTCTGTGTATGTAGCCATGTACTCAAATTCACTGGGTAGAGCAGGCTAGCCTCAAACTCACAGAGATCTGCCTGCATCTGCCTCCCGAGCACAGGGATTAAAAGTATGCTTTTATACATGTCATGATCCCGGCCATATGGATGCAGAGATGAGAGAATCAGCATTTGAGGCCAGCCTGGCTACAGAACAAGACATGTCTTTTTTATTAATAAAACTGGTTTATATTCTACTCTGAACTGACCTTGTACTCATGCATGACTTTGGTACTTTGCTCACTGGTTCCTTGGAAAATGTTGGGTCAATGCATCAAACGGGTCATCCAAATATAGGTTTTATCTTACAGTATCAGAAAAGCTGCATTTGTAGATGCCATCACGATCTTATGGGGAAAAGGATTACACCTTGGGCAACTTGAAAGCTCTTTGTAAATAGACATTTTTTAAAAATTTTAGCCTTTTTGCTTGAAAGCAGGAATTCTATCATTTGTATAAATTTTGTCCTTACAACCTCAGGACAAGTATGATTAAAAGAAGCATAGTTTTAACTTTCTAGGTTGACCAAAATTTTCCCAGGAATCCAGGAACCACACCTTGAGAATCATTCCATAACATGGTAGATTAATTTTGTTATACTAATTGAAGGGACAGGGCTAATACCTGGGATACACAGAGAACTCCTATGAATAGCTCATAAACATATCAAAAATACTCAGCTTCATCACCAATTAAATATACAGTATGCACACAGGAATGGACTGTCATTTTGCTCCTATGATACTGGAAAGCATGGAAAGGTATAATGGTGTCAAGAGTGGAAAGAATATAGATCAATAAAAATTCTTAAAATTATCTCAAAAGAGAAGGCTCATCATAACCATTTTGAAGATAATTAGCAACATTTAATATAAAGTGTAAAGTTCCCCATTATGACTAGAAGGTAATACTTCCCAGTAACTAATCTGAGAGCTGTCTTGCATGTGTGTTCAGAGAGACCTGAACAAGATGATTCCTGGAAGCAACGCTCAAAATTTGAACAATTGAAAATGACATAAATAATATAGGAAAACTGATAAAAAATAATAGTATATTTTATGTCACCACAGTGTATGGTGAGAAAATATGTTAAACAAC